ATAAGCTCTTAAACATCTGAGTGCAGATTTCAATGATTCCAACAGCCTTGTCACTTTTCAAGCCTTTCACAGCTTCTGTACGTTCATAAACCAATAAAACTAATATCTGTTGCCAGGTGCTGTTTAGGCAAACCTTCCTGCGGTTGCTTTGGATTAAGGAGATCTTCAAAGCACTCGCTCCATGGCTGAAATAACTCCTCTTTCTTGATAAGAGAGTATCGGACTTGTCCTTCAGGACTCTTAGACTGTCCTTTTCGCCACTGCGGACGGAGTAGATGGTCTGTCAAAATACGTTGATTGCAGTCTGAAAATTTGCCTCAAGTATCTCACCAATCTTTTCATAGTTATCGGTTTTCGCTTCGCCACTGTTTCTCTGCTGTATAGCGCCCCTCTTCGTTCCTCCGCATTCGAGCTGAAGGCTCACTGCCTCTAAACCACCTCTTGAACACAGCTTTCTTGTCTGTTTCTGACCCCCAGACAGCAATGGGACGCATTTTCAATCGCAGCATCAGCCTATAGTGCCGAGTAAACAACTGAAGGAGCTTCCAATCGATTTAGATGTTAGCGATCATCAAAAGAATATGATGAAACCGTCATGACGTTTGCTAGTTTCGCCCTCGTATCGGCAAAAGAAAATGCTTCCCATTTGATTCTCTGCTGTTTTCTGCCACAATTTCTTCGCATGATGATCTATCCATATCAGCGACGGATGCCAACAGCAAGGTGATGATCAGTTGACGGCTCCGCGCTTCTCCTAGCGCTAAAATATATGACAGAACGTCGTACGTCAGACGATACGATTATCGATTTCCGTGCATAAGCACCCTTATACCAGGTATACTGATGCACTCTACGATGCTCGAAAAGGCGTTCATAACGGACTGTCCGTTGTTTGCACAGACACGCAAAAACTTCATACTGTTATTGTTGAGGTCACTAGGGCCGTTCTTACCAATCACGCCTTTCCACTTTCCAGCGTCTACTCAGACATGCGCACTGACATCACCCATGAGAATAATGAATTCCGTAGACGATATAACCTTCAGAGCACCATCTGCTTCATGTAAGAAGGATGCGCGTCTCTCCGAACTAAACTCACAGACCTGTAATAAGGCCAAAACATTCGTCTGTTGCAACTTTAGACGAAATTCCGTGTTTCGCTTACAGGTTTCCACTCAGTCACTCAATCGGCCAAGTGACGTTCTGCAGAACACCAACACCAGCCAGAGCGAGGGTAATAGAGTTTACAGCTGAGTACAAATGCTTCAGCAAACAGCGGTTCAGAATTCCAGAAATCTGTCATTTAGTTGACGATAGTTTATTTGTATCTGGATGACATCGCTTCAAATGTACTTGTTCGTCTTCATGACTAAGCATGAAAAATGTTCAGCCATTTTAAATTTTGAGAAGCTTCTTGACAGCCCAGCCTGGATTA